CCCCAAAACCCCAAAACCCCAAAACCCCGTTATTCTGAATGTTAAGATCAATAAAGAGTCTATTAAATTTGTAATATATTAAGTAGTTGTGAATACATCGATGGCAAAAGTCATTCATTAAGTCATTTATTCATTCATTAATGAGTATTAAGCCTCACCTTATTTTAAGGAGGTGAGAACAACCTTTGATGAGGCTGATTAATATTTTTCTTCTTCAAATTAATAACCATAGTAGTAGCTCCTGCTTGATGATTGTTATTTATGCCTACACCACTGTTGACTATGAAACTCTAATAGTTTCCATTCTTATTTTACTAGGTATTTGCATTCTATACAATCAAAAGGGTATTAGAGTTCCGGCTCTAATTATTCTAATACACACCAGATAGTCTTTTGCTCACTTGCTAATTCTGACTATGCTCTCTTTAATGATTTACATCCTCTGCTATCTTGAATGTTTAGTATTGTTGAACAGTTGAATTTTGTGAGGCATACTTAGAAGGAGAAGAGTTGATATGAGGATATATGCCTTAGTTTGAATTTTATGAAGATTGCTTTTGCATACGCATATAGTTCTTCAATTCCTATGCATTTGATTGAATTTATCCTTTGACTTGATAGTTTTCTTTTGCTGAGGATTAATTTATTGATTAAATTATGCTCTAGTTCTTTATATTGCTAATGAAAGACTATGGAGAAATTATCTAGGCTTGATAATTCCCTGAATTGGCGTTTGGGCTAAACATTCTATAGTCGAATGTTTTGATTATGCTTTGATTTGTAGTTGTTGTATTATTCACACTATTCATGATTGTAGGAGAAACTGTATTTTGCTGCATGAAATTGGTTAGATTTGTAGTAGTTTTTGTTCTCTAATGAGAACCTTTTAGCTTATTACTTAAAGTAGATTAAGCGTTTGCGAATTTCTTATTATTATATTGACTTGCTGAACTGCCACTATTATTAGGCTTAATCAGCTCTGATTGATTTCTGGACTATTATTGTAAAGTAATTGCTGAATTTAGTAGAGTTTAGGCCTCATCGAGGTTGATCGCTAATGATTTATAAACTCCTGAATTTCTATCATAAGATTTTGTTGAATCATATTCACTTTATGTTAATGGCTAAGTTCTTGACGACTTTCGTTTTTAGCTTCCTTGCTTTTAAAATTGAATTTAAGTGGTATCCTTATTAGTAGTACTCAGAAATGAACCAAAATTAATTGGCTATTTCTAACTAGTTATACTAGACTGAACATTAATCTGATTATTCCCTATTATCGAGCTTTTGAATAAATCGCTCTCTCTTTGTTTGGAATTCTGAGCTTGATTCCTTTTGGCTAGTGTGTTTGGATAGAAATTTATCACTAATTGCTTTTATTGGTCGTTTTAGGATTAATTCGTAGTGTATCTAGTTGATTTTTATCTTTTTTAATTAGGAGTTTAGCCAAGTATCTTGACCTAATTTTGAAAAGTCTTCTGAATCATTGTATTTGCATTCTATATATTCTTAGATGTTTAAGGTGCTATTTCCTTTTGAGTGAAGTTGTTAAGATTGTTCTTACTTCTTTAGTCATAAGTTTAATGCTTAACTTGTCTGTTTGAGTCTAGCTTTACATTATTTCTTGAGTTAATCATGATAGCTGAACCTTGAGTGTCTGTTGCTATTGGTCGTTAAGTATCGGAATCTAGACTGAGCTAAATCTGCTCATCGAAATTTGAAGTATTATATATCAGATTATTCTAATGATTGATATTAGAGTTTTTATAGATATCACTCTGCCTTTAATTGATTGAAAGTTTAGTTTGACGCTATACCTTCATAAAATCAGTAACTACTTCAGGTGGATTCATATTATTTAATTTGTCGGGACTAATTTCAGTTTGCATTTTAGTAGTGATTTGCGATTTTATCTCGTTGCCATTATTGGGACTAATAATGTTTGTTTTCAATTGAGACTCAGGGGATTTCACAGTTTTGCTTTTACCAAATTTTTCCTATAATTTAGATGGAAATCTCTCTTGCGATTTCGCGATCTCACTTTGAATCTTGTTTAATTCATCAAGTTTTTCTATATTAATTTAAGAATTAAATTGAATATTATTGTTACATTGATGTCTCTTTTATAGTTCAAGGAACTTATCCATTTAAATCTTCCTCTTTGAGTCGTCTTTTTTTAATTGAGGTCCGGTGCTTTAGAAAGGGAAGGTAAAATCTTAATTAACCTTCGACTTTGCGAATCTTTCTTCAATTTCTTCTTTAAATTCTAAAAGTTCTTACTCGATTCTTTCATTTATATATCGAGGCCTTCTCAGAGGACCACAAGCAAAAGCTATGTAATTTCCATTAGCTGCTCGTCGCTCAACTGAAAATGCTTCTCTATCTCTGTAATTTATTTGAATAACAGCTTTTGCATCGCTATTTGTATCGTGTCCCTAATGATTATTGTTTCTATTATTACTTTTCTAGTTATTATTACTGCTAACATTTTGGTTGCTGTTATTAGTTGTATAGGTCTATGCTGGCAATCCATGCGACTAAGATTGGATCAATAAGGGTTATGATTGCTACTAGATTTGATTAGTCTAGTAGTTTTATGAAAAGGTTTTTGAATGATTAGCCAAATGTTGATGATCCATTGATTTAAGTATCAGTTAATCTCTCTAATCATTGAATTAGTATTATGGCTAAGGTGACATCAGCTAAGGATTAACATTATAAGTGCTAAATATACTAGATGGATTGCCGAAGTTGCTGTTATAGTTAGACCCAGGATCTTTTTTAAAATTAGTAATGATATTTCCAAGGGGCTTTTTGCGCTATTTCTTAAGTTTCTACGCAAATTGCTATCCTGCTGTTTTATAACTTTATTTCATATTTTAATGAGATATTTCTATGTATTATTTTGAAGAAATTAGTTATGTAATCAGCCAATTTCATAGCAAGCTGGGGTTTTGGGGTTTTGGGGTTTTGGGG